TTCCAGGATCATTATTACTTTGATAGTGTGAATAATAATAGTTCAATTTTAATAAAAACAATGTTCATTGTTAGATCTAAATTTAGCTCTTCCCCCTTTTTCATGAGAGTTAAAACAATCATGCAAGTGATGTTCTCTCTTGATATTCTGATACTGGAAAAATAGTATTGCCAAGGTAATTGGATAATATGATTTTCTTAAAAGCATGAAACAGCTTTATCTCAAGTATGTCAATCTTAATCCCATTAATCCTCTAAGGCAGAAGATACAGTGCATTTGCACTTGTGTGACCTTGCAAGGCATAATATTGGTCATTCAAATAAAGTAAGAGCCTGTGGGAACATTTGTGCAGACCCCCTGACTTGAAAAAAATAAGAGAGCTGGAGGTTCACATAGACATTTCTCCCAGCCTTTTTTCCAGACCAGCAGAAGAAATCACTCTACAGGATGTATAGTACCATATGTGTAGAAGCAGAATGTATGTAATAATCTGTTTGATTTTATTCCTGCAGTTTGCATTTTGAAGAGGGCTTTATGTTTTACTTTTTTCTCATAATACGAAACACTCTGTTGCGACAGTGAACTGCACTGTCTGCATGAGCTGTTACAGCCACGTCTGTTACAGCCAATACTTTTTAGGGACCAAAAAAGCACTCTGAAAATCAGGTCACTTCTTTTAGTAGGTACTGCTTGAGGTATTTGACTACAGGCACAGCAGTATTAAAATGTTGACATTATTTTATCTGCCTGAAATGAAAGGAAATGCTGAGCTTTAAGGGTTGTTTGTCCTACTCAAGTAAGACACAGACAGACCCCCTTTCATAAAAAGTATTGCAATTGTTAATAGCTGAGACAGAACTTCTAAAATGTTTCTTTACCCTACAAATGCTCTTCATCAGTTATATGATGCCTAAACCAAATTTCAAAATCAGGCTTTCTTGCTCTTGTGAATGTAATATAAGAAATAAGAAAAAAGAATATAAAGGGGAGCTGGACCCAAATTTTCATCTACAAATTCAATTATATACTGAAATTTTACTGTAAACAAGCAAACAATAAAAATTAGTAAAAACAATATTTAGAAAAAAAACAAACCAGACTTAAATACCTGCAAAAAAACCCCACGGTCAAACTTTAACTAAAATAGCTTTTTAATAAAATTTCCAATACATTCTTGTATTGCAGCTTTGTCTAGGCAGGTAAGATAGTTTTTACAAACACTCTGGATTCCTCAGTGAGTTCTGTGAAATTAGCAGCATATCTGGGTTGGTATTTTAGTCTGTTCTCTGAATCTGGATGGTTTTTTAACCACGGCCATCCTTTTCTCTTTGGCACGTACAGGTTTTCCCCTTAAACCCATAGTATGGAAATGGAAATTGGGTCACTTTTGTGCTATTTCCTTTGGTTTTGCACATGCAGGTGACTTCCAATACCCAAACCAGCCAGTGGGTTTGAGGCTGCTTTGTCCTGATCTCTGTGTGAACAGCTCAGCTTTCTTTCTCTGCAGCTAGTGTTTTTTAAAAAGTGGAAAAGCTACTGAAAACATAGGTGCTGTTTTTCAGTGATTACTCCCCTCACTGATAGGAGCGGATCTCAAACTGGGAACTTCCAATCACATAATACAAATTGAGGGCCTAGAGCAATGCACTCAGACCTCATCATGGTACACGGTGTTTGCATGTGTAAATAGAAAGTTTACCTCATCATGGTACACGGTGTTTGCATGTGTAAATAGAAAGTTTTGGGGTAAATCCATTGCAACCAGCATTCAAAACCTGGCCTATTGCATCTGAATAATTTTGAGAAGCTTTGGAATGAAAGGTCTTGTACTTATACATGGGGTTATTGATAACAGAACTCAGTAATTCCAAAGTAAGGGTTTCTACAGTAACTATATCTCCTCACTTGTATTGCACCTATAAACATGGCATTAAATTTAACAGTGGATCTATTATTTAGTAAAACTACAAGTGTTCAGCTTACCTGAATTATGGGTGCTGTATGAACATTGTAACTTTATCTCCCCTGACTTTTTCCCCATTAAAGGCACCAACCTTCACAGGATACTAACATAGTTTGTTTAGTGCATGAAAGAATTCACAGATTTATCTTAATGAGAAAAAGCAAAGATCTTCAATTAAAGCATAATGAATAAAATATTGAATAGATCAAAGTTTATATCCTCTGAGAATCCACAGATTGTCTACATACTCTGACTTTGATATCCAGTAGCTGCCTAAAAACTGATTGGAAGTACACCAATATAGGTTTTAAACTGCTGATTGAAGTCTGAGCATGGCATCAAAATGTCAGCAGAGCTTGATTTTACTAAACCTGTCCTAAGTTCTTTTTTGCATGAGTGATTTTAAAAGTCAAGGTTTTACACTGGCAAGCAGAAGCTGTAGGTTCCAAAATGTGGGGGAGAGGTGGTATGAATCTAGATTGTATACTCACTGTTTGATGATGTTCTAGGCCTGGAACTAATGCAAGAGTAAGACCTGAAGAAAATGTTATACTCTGTCTGTCATAAGTGGCTAAGGGAGGAATGTAAATACTCTGTACTCTTCTATATCAAAAATCAAAATTGCTACTGTTACCTTCATTTTGAACACATCATCTGTCCAGACCTGTTGTCTAGGCATAAACTTGGAAGCCACAGAATGAAAATATTTATTCTTCTTTTTATTTTTGATGTGGGAAAATATTAGAGCTGTTCATTCAATCCTGTTCTTCCAGTAGATTTCATTAGTACTTGGTACTCTTAGTCTTAGTTAAAGCTTTACCCTTTCCTAGAAGAATATTTCAAGTGTTTTTATGAGTATTTATTCAGTAATATCCTATAGATATGCACAATTCTGCATATCATCATTCAGTAAGAAAACTGGACTTGGAACTATATTTCTGCCTAAAGTAACTTAGATTCTTGTAGCCCAGGAAAATAAATTTTAAAATAAGCCAAACAAAAAAAAACACACACACAACAAAAAATTCCCAAACCCACAACAACAAACTTTGCATGCTGATGGAAGATAAGAATTGTAGAGCCATTAACTGAAGGATATTTAAAGACAACATGGAAATTTACTTTTAAAAGGCACAAGGAAAGAATTAGTTAAATAAATCATGGAGCATTTGAGAACAAGTAAATCCTGAAAAGGAAGAGTGGGTCTTAAGAAAGAATATTGGTAACGGTGTAATCTGGAGTCGATCTGCAGGATTAAATCTTCAGTCCTTTGAGGAAAATACTAGTCCAAGTGAGTTACAAGGCTGTACTTGACAAAGAGAGAATGGGGAGAGCAGAACACAAGAGGAAAGAAGGACTGTTTGAGCCTGGCAGCTTAAGGAAGGCCCCAAATCATTATGTCAGGAGCAGGAAAAGAAAAATCAATGAAGGAAGGAGTTTGGCATGGTCCTGGGTTTTGAAATCATCAGGAAACAAATCAAAGACATAGGCTGTGAATAGTTTAATTAATAAAATTATATAATTAATTAATTATAGCTGGTAATAAGCCTATATGTGCTAAGGACCATTAAATATCTTTGTTCCTTTGTATAGCACAGTAGATTTAGGGTTGCAGTTTATAGCATTATAGATTGATAAACAGCCATAAAAAGGCCATAAAAATTTATTTGCATTAACAGTAACATTTGAAAGGCCCTTCAGCCTCTGGACTTAGACTTATATTTGTAGTGAGAATCAACAGCAAAGCCATTAGCAATCATTCCAATGTTTTCGTTTTGGTTGTCTAAACAAACTGGCATGTACATGCTCTAGCTGAAATCTGTGATGGGATTCCTAAGATTTTCTGGTGAAGGTAAACGTTGATGAAAAACAAACTTCTCATACAAAAGATTATTCTGGTAGGTGAGAGTGTAAGTTGCAAGACAAATTTAGAGACCTAGATTTAAGCCTCCTTATTTAATGTGGCTTGTAAGGTTTTCTGAGCATTATAGTTATGGCTGTTTTATGGAGTTGATTCACTGAAAAGGATCAGAGAAGCAGCAAACTAAAAATTCACAACTGCTTGTATTTAAGTCTAACACAATATTTGTTTAACTAAAAAACCCTTTTGCAGATTCACCTTGAGATGAAAATGGTGTTTCTGCAAAATAGCTTCAAAGACCCTGCTCTACTGCATGTTGTTTCTGCAGTTACAGGAAAGAGGAGGATGCTGGTTTATGTGGTCAGAAGCCCCAGGAGCAAAGGAAAGGAGACAATGGGAGGGCAAGAACACTCTGCTCTTGGACTGTCCTTTGTTATGTCTCAAAATCTCATGAATGCACATTCCCACTGCTCCAGATTTCCAGTACAAAGAAGGGACAGCACTGACTCCAGATCAAGAGAAATAATGCACATCATTAAGAAGAAAAAGAAAGTAATAAAGGGTTGTAGGACTCAGACAGAATTCAAAAGGAGGCTCACTGCAAGCTGCAGGTGTGCAGTTGCACTAATTAAGCTATAGAAGCAATACTAGTAAAATTTCACACTTGCAAACCTACTTTTGTGATAATTAGTGCATAGCTCCACTAATTTGAAATGTATCTTGAGCCAAAATCATCCTGGTGAGTGTTCCTGTGTACATTCTGTCAGAAAAGATTGTCATATAGGGATTTGTATTTCAGCTTTTGTGCCTCCCCAAAGACATTCAATATGTTGAGCTGAACTAAAAATACTCTGATCTGGTTTATAAAGGCTTTGAATGAAAATAGCTGAAAGCACCCAAGATTTTTCCAGTCCAGTATTAAACCTAACCAAGCCTTCTATGTCAGCATGTTTGCTAGAAGCTTCCCAGATAAGGAATGGAAAATAGCAGAGAACTCTGGAGGTGCTTGTGCCTCTGCAGGGTGAGAAGTGGGCCTCCACTGCAACAACAACACATGGTCAAATGAGATTATGACAAGGCCTTTGGCCATCAGAGTTTTTGTTATGGCTCTGTTGTGGCTTACCAATAACATCAGGGAGGAGTGTGCTAACAAGAGAATTGTGTTCATCATTTCAGGTTCCTCAGGATGAATGGACTGGCTACACTCCACGAGGAAAAGATGACGAGATTCCCTGCCGCCGGATGCGCAGTGGCAGTTACATCAAAGCCATGGGCGACGATGACAGCGGAGACTCAGACACAAGCCCCAAGCCATCCCCAAAGATTGCTGCACGGAGAGAGAGTTATCTCAAGGCCACCCAGCCATCCCTTACCGAGCTCACCACCCTCAAGTAAGTCCAGGTTCTGCTGTATCACCTACAGCTCTCCATTAAGACATACATTTTCTATGTTTGCTTCTTCTCTTTACATTTTCTGTGTTTCCTATGTTTGTTTCTTCTCTTATTTCTAACTACCAGTTCAGGAACGTATTTGAACAAGTGTGTCCCATCATGCTTATTTTTGCATGGGTTTTTTCTTAACAAGAGTAAATCTGGGAGTGTATTTCAATGTTATTCTGAAAAGGAACCAGCACTATGAATTTGCAAAGTATTTTAACCTGTTAGTGTTAAGTGAGCCTCCAGGTATGTACAGTAGGTGCACCCTTTGAATGCTTTGCTAAAGTACAGCTTGGGCCTGCAAAAGCTTTGTGTAACTGTGTATTTATATATACTCAACATTTGAAATTAGACCTAAGATAGTCTTTTCAACTCCAGAAAGAACCTGACATTTAATTAAAAAGAACAAAGACTGTCTGAAAGTAGACAAACCCATGTTTTCCACTCAGAATTGCACTGTATTTTGTAGAGAACCAAAATCAGATTTTTTAAATTGTTTATGAAAACTTTACTCAAAAGGAATCATGAGTTTCTGGAGTTTTTTAAATGTCACTATTTGTTTTTCCTTTATTTGGGCCTTTTAAAAAAGCCACCCAAATTGTCAGGAAAATTGCATACATGGACAATTTTGTATTACCATTTTATTTTAATTGATTCTAAAAATTCAAAGGTCCCTTAAAGCAAGAAAATAAATTGTATCCATAAAAGAAAATAGTGTGGATTTAAAATCAACTGTTGTTTCTGTCTTTTTTTAAATTCTTAGCTATAACAGTGAATCATAGTTCACTGGACCAAAAATAACCCAATCTTAGTATAACTTGCCTAAGGCTGTAGCTTTAAAATGGGGGGGGAAAAATAAAAAGGATCTCTATCTCTTCTAGTATCCATGATCAATGACAAAAGACTCCTTTTGCATTTCCCTGATTAATTTCTTCTCCTTCCTTGTCCTCCTCTACTCCATTTTTTTCCAGAGACCTTATCTGAGAAACAGATTTTAGAGAAAACTGTTTGATCCTTGTTAAGAATGTCATGCTCTTGACATCAGTGATGAATAGGCCAGCAGAAAAAAGCAAGCTTACTGCAGCTTCCCATAGCAGCCTGCCTGGATTTGTCTCAAGGGAAGCCTGGGATTGCTTCTTCTCTGTCTTTCTATTAGTGACCAAAGGAGAAAGCAATCTCATTTTCTGCAGGGATTTTCATAATCTAGCTGGCTTTTGCTCAAGGGATCCAGTGATTCCTTTCATCATCCAGAAGACTTTACCACATCCTTTCCTGAGCCAAAACTCCTCCTGTGAAATCAGTTATTGCAACCTCTGCAAGGTGAACATGAATGTTATTTACCACCACAAACTCCAGCCAGCCAGGCTTCATGCATGGACACACTTTCAGGCACAGAGCTTATTCTTTTTGAGTTTTTAGAAGCATGCTTTCCAGAGTTCCATAGTATATGTGAAGTTCAATGCATCACAATGAGTGTATTTGCTCTTGGTCATTTCTGTTTTCTGTAGATACAAGATTTGCAAAAAAAGATAGATTTATGAAAAATCGAAACTCCTGCATGTCACTGTTCACCCATAGAGGATGTCAGACCAGAGGTGCCACGCAGCAGAAGTTTTTAGCTTTCAAGTCATTGTAATTCAGCAAAGTGCTTGTATAAATACTTAATTTCCCATGTTTTTTAATTGCTTCCTATTTGGGAAAGCTTTTAGGAATGGGCCAAATTTTAAGCTGCAGTCTGTAAATTTCACATAAGTTTAGGAGCTGTGCAGGAATACGATGTAAATGATGGGGTAGAAGAAGGAAGAGAAAATGGTAAATGGCAGTAAAACAAAAAAGAGGAGAAAGTATGAAACAACTTTTCTTTTTCAATGGCTTTTCAGCATAAATTGGGATGAAATAGAATTATTTCTTTTAATCTATGCTGATATTTTAAGGAAATATATCTTCCTGAGAAACCTTTCACTTTCAGAGACAATTTGTATAATGCATAATTAAGCAGTGCTTTCATTACTTTCTGCTGAACATGATAATTTCTGGGGGTTTTATGAGAAACAGCTGAGTGCTTGCTCTGGGAATTGAAGTCTTCTGTTAAGCTAGGTCTTTGTTTGCAGACTTCTTCATACTTTCTTAATAGTGTGGCTTGACCTTCACAATGACATTAGTTTTTCATCCCATGGCTACCCTGATTACCCCGAGAGCTGTGTCAGAGTTTTGCAGTGTTAGACAGGGACTAAACTAGGGCCCCTAACTCACTGAATATAGGTCATCAAGCAATTGTGTGATGTGTGATAACAAGTTATTTCCTTGCCTTGCTGTTGACTTGAGTTCAATTTGCACCTGAATAAGAGCTTTGTGGAAATGAGCCAAAGCCTGCTCTAGGCAGCAGGCAGCCTTTTACTGTCACTAGTGGACCTTCTAGTTGACCTCGAAGGGTATTATTAACACCCTAAAGCTGAGTGGTATTTCACTCCTTTAATTATGGGTTTTTTTCTGTCCATGAAGAACAAAGCATGCTGTGAAATCAGTGTTTCTACAGCAGTAATTGTCAGGGATCTTCCTCATGCATTTCTTTCTGCTACTCCCTTTCTCAGTTTGCTGTATTCAGTCTCTAGTTGGCTGCACTTTCATCTCTGGCAGAGCAAACAACTTAAAAACATGTTCCCTTTTGCTTTCCCTGTGATTCTTTCTGAAGTGATTTTTTCATCTTTTGGGACTTTTCCTCTCTGACTCCTTTAAGTCTAATATTGGTCTCACAACCCACGCTGTTCCTCCCACCTACCTACCTACTATTGCTCATGCGCCTACTCTTCTAAGAAAGTATTTTCATTATTACCAGTGTTGCTTTTTATATAAGGAATAACCTTTGAACAGCACAACTGTGTCATATCTCCTTTACATAATACAAATTTATTTTCCTGGTTTTGCCGAGGATTTTTCCCTGCCATACTGTACAATCTCCCTCCTACCATTTTCCTCCATTGCCATGGTTTCCATGTGGTTACAGCACATGTGTCAAATGCTGTGGTACCATTCTGGATAAAGCACAGCTTGCTGTGATTTTGAAATACACACCTCCGCTGCTGCATTCTCATTATCCTATCAGGAAGTAAGCAGATTTTTTTTCCCCTGTCTTTGCTGGCAGTATGCTCTTGGTGTTTAAGATTTCACAGTCTAGATAAACTGATTCAGCTGGAAAAAAAAGGTGGTATTTTCTTGCCATTCCTAGTAAGTGGCAAAAGTTTATCTTTCACTTGTAGGCAGATTGAAAATGGACTGGTTAGCAAACTTCCAAAGAAGGTTCAGGTGGCAGATAACTGACAATTCTGTTACAGCTGAGTGTGATTCAGGACACAATCCTTCACTGCTTATATGTGCCTTGCTTATGTTTAGCATGGTTTTTTGATGGGATAAAAAGTATGCAATTACATTGCTGTCTGCATGCCAACCTGTCACCTCCAGCTTCCAGTAACTCTTAAATCCATTGGCCAGCTATAACCAAGTTTGCTAGAGAGACTGAAATCTGAAAGATATGAAGTTCCAGAAAGCTTTCTCAAGATCTGTAGCTGGATAAGGCAAAGAAGGATCTCCAGCCATCACTTTTGTTCTTTTGAAGGGCTATGAGCAAAGTAGCTGGTGGGTCAGCACAAGGAATAACTTGGCAGCATTTTCCCAGCCTAAAAAGATAAGGAATATTAAAGGGACTGCAAAATTCTGTTCAGGACAAGAGAGCTGAGGGATGGATCCTGTCACCACAGATTTTCTACTTCATTTTCCCCCTTTCCTCTTCTCCACTGCAGGCATACTCACTGCTTAGAACACAGATTCAAATTATGCTTCTTAACTCATTATTGCAGCTATTGTGGGGACTCCATCTATTTGAATCTTTTATTTGAGGGTTTTGTTTGTTTGTTTGTTTGGAGGGGGTTTCTGTAACATTACCAAACTTAACAGTAATTTATTTGTAGACATGGATTTTGGATTAAATACAGTTGCAGAATTTTTCTTTTGAACTCATATTTGATCACATAAATTTTTTTCTGAGACAAGTTGTACTCTGTGATCACTAGTGAATTGAAAATTTTAATGATCTTGATACTTTGTAGATGCATTTGTAGAACTTATGTAAAAAGGATAGACGGAAGAACAGAAATGAGTTGGTTTTTTTCTTAGCAAATCTATATTTTCAAGGCATTTTTATAGGCATGTGGTCTTTTTCAAGTCAGCTGTGATTAGGAGAAACCTATAAGCACCAAAATCCTTTTTCAATACACACCAAGTTTCACCACTGATGATGAAGACAGTGTGAGCATATAATCATTATACTTTTCTCCTTTTTATCCCATGGTAAAGAATTTTTCTATATAAATCCCATCATAGCTGCATCTGTTCCTATGATTTACTGCATAGATGACTTAAAATACAATTCCTACCTTTAAAGTTTATCGGAGACATTCCAAAAAAATATCTCGAAATATTATTTGAGGGCGTGTTATTTGTCTACACCTACGTTTATATTTTTATGTGTTAATTCAAATAGTGTAAATACTTTCTACTTGTATGTTTATGGGAATCTGGAGACAAAATTGTTTTGAAAACCAAATCACAATAAATTATCAAGCTCAATTATGTGGTGTAATCTGTTAGCAAGCTTAGTAGCAGTGACAAGAGCAAGGAGAGAGCTCTGATTTATACAGCCTGAACTCAAATTTTCACATCACCTCCCTGAGAATTGATCAAGTGAGCTCCTGGAGGACAAACCACCAAGCTGGAGTCAACCTGCATTACTAACCAAATCTCGACAGAGTTGCAGCACCAACTCTGCTAGGATGACTTGGAAGGAAAATCAGACCACTCCATTGTTACTTAGTATAAGGCATATTTCAAGATAGGAAATCCCCTGTGATTTCCTAAAAGTGATCCTTGGGAAGTGTCTGCACTGAGGGAAATTACAAGGG